AGAATGAGAAACCCAGAAAGGTTCAATATTTGAACAACTTAAAAAGACCAAATGATTACTGTTACATCCAAAAATGGGGAAAGGGCTCATTGTCTCTTCTTGCTGACTGTCTTTATAAGCCAAAAAAGGAGCAGAGAGACAAACTCAGGACTTTGGTATAGTTTTCACGCCACTTTAAGGGAGTAAAGAAAAAGAAAAATATAGGAAGATGGAAAAACTTACCTCATAATTGAAGTACATCAGAAGTATAATATAAACATGGAAGCAGAGGAAGGGGGAATAGTGAACCTCACTCACATCTGAACTGAGAGAAAAAAGGAATACACAGAAAAATATACCTACATATCCAAACAAGCCCATATAGAACTTAATTCAATTCAATATTTTATTAAGCATTTACTATGTGCCAGGTACTGTGCTAAGTGCTGGAGACGCAAATATGAAAGATAAAAACAAGTTCCTGCCCTCAAGGAGCTTACAATATATGAAAGATGAAAAGAGGAGGGGGAGTGATGTGGGGTTCCTGGCACAAAAGCATGATGTTTTAAGGAGTCAAAACCAAGCAGAGCTATTGATAGAAAATGGAGAATTACCTGGAAAATTCAGAGCCCTCCATAACGGAAGGATTAGGGAGGAGTTTATTGCTCTACCCTCCACCCTCCAATCAAGAGGGGAGAGGCAACTGAGGAAATCGAAAAGGTGCTGAGTACCAAACACACCCAAAGAGTATGGTGTTAAAATCAATAGGAAAACTAGAGATGGGGAAACAAAACAAAATTACAGGACAGATTATAAAGGGGGTACTAAAAGGACAGAAAGGGTTAAGACCTTTGGGAGAGATGAAATGGACTAGAGCCGCAGAGATGGGGAACCTGTACCCTTGAGGACACATGTGGCCTTCTAGGTCCTTGGGTGCAGCCTTTTGTCTGAGTCCAAGTTTTATAGAACAAATCCTTTTATTAAGGGGATTTATTCCGTGAAGTTTGGATTCAGTCAAAGGACTGCAGGTTCCCCACCCCTGGTAAAGGTACAGGATCAGATATGCATTCTCAGATGTACTTTGATTTGTTTTTCTTGAATTTACATCATAATAAATGAAGGATTCTACTATGGAAGGAAATGCACTGAAGTATATAAAGAAAGTTTTCAAGAAGAAAAAAAACACTCTCTGGAACAGTATTATTTTATTAAAAAAAAAATCATTCCACCCTCACAAATACCAACTGATAACAGCATTATGGAAATCCTTATTGCATGTAGATGGATTTATTATATTCAAATAATAATTCAATGCATGTTTAATTGGTTGCAAAGATGAAATGTTAATATTTTCATAAGTTGTTTAAAACATAAAAATAAAGTATTCTCGAGAAATTTCCACCCTTCTCCCACCTCCCTCATTCCTATTTTTCTCCCATCCTCTCAGCCATGAAATCTTAACAGTATTTCCAAAGCTGAACACAAGTTTAAAAAAAAAATCCAGTTCTGCCACAGTCCAATAACTGCCAGTACCAAACCACTCTCAGGATTATTAATGTGCTAATGTAGTAAGAGACAAGAGAAGTTACAAACAAGTTAAACCAAGTTAAACCATTATTGCGCAATATCAACTTTTGTCTTCTAGAAATAGTTTTAAATAGCTGTTTTTATAACATCCCAGGTAATCTCAACTCATTTTTCATATACATATATGTATATGTATACACATACATATACACACACATATATATATGAGCATAGTATATATATTATACTATGTACATAGTGTATATATGTGTGTATACATATACATACATATACAGATATATATACAGATATATATATACACACAGATATATATACATATATATACACACACATACATACATACATACAGATATACACACACACACACACACACACACACACACACACACACACACAGCAGTTAAGTGGCACAATGGATAGAGTGCCAGACCTGGAGTCAAGAGGACCTAAATTCAAATCTCGCCTCAGGCATTTCCTAGCTGTGTGACCCTGGGCAAGTCACTTAATTCTCCTTGCCTCAGTTTTCTCATCTGCAAAATGAGCTGGAGAAGAAAATGGCAAAACCACTCCAGTATTTTTTGCCAAGAAAACCCCAAATGGGGTCACAGAGTTAGACACAACTGAACTGTACATACACACACATGGATCCTGCGACCTGATGTGGTTGTCCCCACTGAGGAAACACACGACAACATATCCAGGTCGGCTGGCTGATCATATGCAACTCTGACTCATCTCCTCCCATGTTTACCACAAAAAGGTCCACCCAATATGATGAGGGCCTTTTGTGATTTCTCCTGCCATTGTAAGAATATCTGTAGGGCAAACACAGGCTGTCATTTGGTTGTTACTCACTCTGCCACCTGGGCAACCCATCTTATTTTATCATGCATTTCTCTAATGACATCCTTCGCTCGATTCTTCTTGCATCCTGCTCACACTGACCACGTGCCCTCTGAAAGATTTTCAGTTTCTTCAGAGACTGTAGTGTTTCATGATTCGTTGCCAAACACAGACACCATTAAGAGAATGATTTTCTAAAAAACGGGCCTCTTTGTTTCAGGGAGTTTTGTTTCATTAAGAGTTTAGAGTTTTCAAGAGGGGGAGAAAGGAGGAACAAGGAAGAAAAGAGGGAGGAGAGATAAGGTCAATGAAGTTTGTTTTGTTTTTTTTTGGCTAGGCAATGGGGTTAAGTGACTTGCCCAAGGTCACACAGCTAGTAAGTGTTATGTGTCTAAGGTCACATTTGAACTCAGGTCCTCCTGAATCCAGGGCCAGTGCTCTATCCATTGTGCCACCTAGCTTCCTCCAATGAAGTATTTTTAAAAACATGAAGGAGAGCAGTAAAGTTCATACGGGGACACAAATAGACAAGCAAGGTAACTTTGTTACTATTGGGTTACATTTATACTAAAAAATAACACCGTAACAAAACCTCACTATTTCATACATTCTTCTCTGCTCTTTGTATGTTGAAATGGTCATGTTTGTTGATGTTTAAGTGCGCAATAAAAAAAATTTAAATAAGAGCCCATCAACAACTTGTTCAATTTGTTGTACATAGTTACAATGTTAGCCTCATGGCCAGACACTTATCACTTGGTCTATCAAAACAGAAGCCGACAAATACATCATGTCCCAAAAATGTCTAGCTTTAAACTGCACTCTCTCTTTTGGGACACACTGGACTGGTACCAGCCTCCTGGGTGATGTCCAGCAGGGCAAGGACCTGATGCTCCAGGCATACCTCCTGCCACCCCAGGGAACCTGTGCAATAGGTCTCATTCTGGGTGGGACTTTATTTTCTCCAACATATTTTTGCTTCGGGAGGACAGTCAAGGCTGAGCATCTGTCTGCTTCCTCCCTGGGATGCAGAAGTTTGGGACCATGCTGGAGGTTAGTTCTCTATCAGGGTCCTCATTTATGAGGTTCCTCCCTATCTGATTAGACTCACTAGTCACTTTGGCTTTTGTTTTGATAGGCTGAACACAGGGCCTACCCCCAGGGTTGCCTACATATAGGAAACCATACTGGTTGTTATAGGTGTTTTTTTTAAAGTTAATTTTTAAAATTATAAACACAAATATTTCAATATGAACACCAATGAAGAGGAACGTAAATGAAACAACTTCTGTTGCCTTCAGATAGATGAGAAAAGATAATGGAAGACATATAGGAGAGAAAGGGAACATATATTTAGGCTAAGTCAAAGTTGTCATATCCTTATATTTACTTAAGCTAACAGACAAATCACTAATAACTGTTCAAAGATCTCCTATTGCTCATTGGAGAAGATGGAGGTGTCCTGTCTTTTTTTTTTTTTGAGCAATTGGGGTTAAGTGACTTGCCCAGGGTCACACAGCTAGTAAATGTCAAGTGTTTGGTCTGAGGCTGAATTTGAACTCAGATCCTCCTGACCTCAGGGCCTGTGCTCTATCCACTGTGCCACCTAGCTGCCCCATCTTCTCTAATGAGTAATGGGAAGGATTTTGTGCCAACCATTTTTTTTTCAAGCACCTTAACCTTCTTTTAGTATAGCATACTACTTTCTCTGCTTATGTCATAGTTTCAGACATTCCATGAAGTCTCTGTAGGAGTGGTCTATTTGGAGCTATGCCACATAAGATAAAGTAGACATACCCACTGTCATGGGAGAGTTTTAAAGTATCTATTAGAAAAAGAAATAGTTTTAATTCAGATGAAATTTCCGAAAAGGTTATTTAGCACTGGTCCAAGAAATGCATGCCATCTTGGGGTGGGGGGAGGGGAGAGATGGGGAGAAAACATGGAACTCAAAATCTTGTGGAAATGAATATTGAAAACTGAAAATAAATAAATTTAAAAAAGAAAGAAAGAAAGGCCGAGGTCTGGTTGTGAAAGGCTCTAAAAGGGGGTTATATTTTATCTAAGAAGGAATAGGGAGCCACCGGAGATTGCTGAGTAGGGGAACCCCCTGGTCAGATCAGCATTTAAGGAAATTTTGAGTTGCAGAATTATTGCAGATATAACTTGGTAGAGGGGGCTTCCTCCTTGGGAATTCTCTCTATTAATGGAATCACACATCCAAGCTGAGCCCTCGCTGGGCCTTTGGGTCTCCTGTTTTACCTGTTCTCATTAGCAGAGTCATCATCACCATCATTAGCTTGCACTTAAGCAGGTTTAGGACAACGGGACCTTACTCACTTTCCAAGGAAAAAGTTGGGCAAACAAGCTGTTAGTACCCACAGCAGAACTGAGGACTGAGGAAGCACATGACAAAAACTTTGCACGTAAGCTTCCCATGTGACCCCTACCACCCTCCCCCAGCAATTACATTCACTCAAGAAAAGAGGCTCAAGTTGATACAATTCGTGTTTTTTTATATAAGTTTTAAGTTAGCTTAAATTACTTTAACAATTTTAAATTGCACAATTCTTCTGCCAGTCTAAAAAGAGCAAAGAATTAATCAAAAAGACACACCACTGCAATATTAATTCCATTTGGTTACTTTTTACAGATCTGTACAGCAGAATAGCAAAGAATTCCTCAATCCATACGATACAGCAATCCTGATCATGCCATCCTGTACATAGTAGGGCGGAAAGCATCTTGCCAAGAGGCTTTGGGAATGACAGCTAGAAAGACTATACACAGTGAACCATGTCTACCTAATCAAGGATATTGGGGGGTGGGGATAGAAAAAAAGCCTAGTTCCCTTTCTTCTCCAGTGTTTCTTGTACAAAATATTACAGTGATTTTTTTTCTTTATATATTTACAAACTTTGCACAAATAGAAAATGGTTACAAATTACAATTAGGCTTGGCAGTCTGACGGGTTCTCTCCTTTACCCACCTTCCTGGCCCCACTGGGGGGAATCTCCAGAGGCCACAACGGTGGCTGTTGTCCTGTACCTAACTTCTGCAAAGTTTGGTTTCCTATTGATCAACAAATGAAGTCCTTGAGAAGGGTGTGGACGATAGGTCTACTTTTTAAAAAAGCAGGCTGTACACATCAACACTAGACACCACAAACCAGGGAGCTTAGGAACAACAGATTTTAAAAGTAAAACAAACTTTCTTGAGCAGGAAATATAGCTCAGCTTAAAATGCTATTGTACTCATGAAACAGGAATAGCCACAACTTTTGGGGGGGAGAAGGGGAGAAGAAAGTATCTTGATTTTATTAAGACCCTTCCCTAGTTTGTGGGATGTTTTTGAATTTTTTTTTTTTAAGTTTGAAACCACATTAGGGAGTTGTAAAGCTATATCCCTGCTTTCCATAGAGATGAGATTGTTTCCTTAAAGTGACCACAAAATGGCCCAAAAATATGACTATTACTGGGGTAGGACAACATTTTGTATTTTGATGTGAAACAAGTCTTTCCCATGAGTGCCAAGTCCAATTCTAACACAGTGCAAAAAAGGAGGTGGTTGCCTGGGGGGTATCAAAGGCTTGTGTAGTAACTGTCTATCCATTGAGCAAGTCCTCTCTCCACCAGTGTTCGGTTTATAGACACCGCCTGGAAAAGAGAAAGGTCATTGAAGGCAACAGCCACAATAAACTTCAAATAACAAGATGCTGACGTTGTTCTAAAGTCACACCTATGACCTAAGGAACTGATGTACAAAATGGATTTTGAATGAAGCGTGTGTGTGTGTGTGTGTGTGTGTGTGTGTGTGTGTGTGTGTG